GGAACTGCATATCACATTGGAACACTCCGTAATGATAACAAGGTCATTATCTAAAGCAGTAAACATTAACTATGTATTCTCCCCACTGGGAGACTGATGTTAGGATACTTCCTAGCAATTACATATTTGTTGGCTTTTGCTCGGTGCTTGTCCCATGAGAGCGAGGGAAAGACACGGCCAAAAATGGAACCTGAAGTCGGGAGATGGTATTTCATAAGCAAGTTGGGCCCAGCAATGGATGGGGCGGTAGAATGGGCTCTTATAGGAGCTGTGGATATTTCCGGACACAGTCCAAGCTAATTATATAAAGAGGTGGCTCTGAATCAGCAGAAAACTGTGGATAACCTCCAGATTGTGCTGCTCCCAATTGACACTGTTCAACAGATGGGATTCTTTGGATAATTAGGAGGCTATGCAGACAGGATTATACCTCCAATGGTCATTTAAAAATATACTCATTAGCAATTCTGCGTGTGGGGGGGGTTAGTTTCACAAAGAGGGTTACTGTGATCAGTACCAAGTGTGACAGTAGATGCATTCCTGGTTTTTTATTGGTTCTAGGTGCATACAGAAGTGTGCGCAGGGGCACTGGCCGCAGGTGAAAGCTGATTGGCCCGCAGAGTGCCTCCTCTCCTAAAATACTGTATATCATTGGCTAATGAAAACGTTGGCCCGTCTGTGTGAATTATGGCCCCATTTATATGCCTCCCCACCTTAAAAAAAAATCAGAGAATCGCCCCTGGGTGCATAGGTTAACCAAGAACATACTGCCTTATGAGGGGAGGCCTTGCTTTCCTGGAACAAGTTAGGGAGAGTTTTGTAAGGCTCTTTATGAGTTGGGTCAAATTACCAGGACATTCACTAGCATTTTGTTTATAATTCATACGAGGACAGAAATGAAGTGAATAAATAATTAATAGGGTGAAGGATACCAAGAAAGCTAAAATAGTTATTGTATTCTGACATCTGAATCTGTGCCCTATTATAGCTGTCTGTCTCTGCTTTAATGTCACTGCTTCTCGCAGGGGACTGTGATTTAGCAGAGGTCAGCTAGATGCCAAAAGAGTTATAGACCCCTGGGACGGCTTTGAGATGGAATCTGAAACAAACAGCAGCAACATTCTCACCTGAAGGCCTCGTATTTATGAGTTTGCAGGCATGTTCTCTCATCGCTGGGATGAGCTCACACTCACGATGCTGCCAGGTTAGGCTTTTCAATCAGTACTGTACTATCGCTGTCTTTCATATAAACCGCCACTGCTGACAAATTGACATGAGCATAATTAAAAAGTGCACTTTTTTGTTCTTTGGTTAGCAGACGCTTTTATCCAAAGTGACATGCATTTTTTTTTTCCTGATGAAACAGGGTCAGACAGTCCCTGCAACAACTGGGGGACAAGGGCCTGGCTCAGGGGCCCTAATGGTGACATCACTCTGCTGACTCTGGGATTTGAACTGGCAACCTCCTCACTGCAGGCACATTGTCCTAATCCAGTGAGCCGCACACCACCCCCAAAGCACTGCGTTACATTAACAAACAAAAATAAGAGATTACGTTATAAGGATAAATACGTTATATGACAGCCTGTTCTTTTTTCTTCCTTGATTGATGGTTTCGGCTACGGTTTTGAGGGATTGCAGATGAGGTACGTCAGGGAATAGTATCACAAAGCTGGATTTTTGGGTTAGTAAGATACAGTAACTAGTCGGTAGTAAGATAACTAGTCGGCGGTAAGGTTGTCTGAGCTAAATTTAAGTGAAAAAAGATAAAGTCTGTTTAAACTGGGGTACCTTAAATCTGAAAAGTTATCTAGCTAACCAAAAAGTATGGCTTTCTAATGCATGCCCCTGGTTTGACCAGGGCCTACGGGTCATTTGGAGTGTCACCTTAATTAACGATAGAACCATCTGAGGCTTACATGAGATTCAAAACATAGAAGAGTTACATGAGATACACCTGAGGTGGAATGAGATCAATCTCGGCACATTATCAAATACATATAATCCAATCTGATAATAATCCATAATACTACTTTTCATATTCATCAATTTCATTTTAACCAGGTTCCGAAGAGGAACCGAAATTAGCAGCAACGTGATGAGCCCACTGCATCATGATTTAATTTTAATCTCCGTAATTGCTTTTTCAGTAAATATCTTCCAGCGTATTAACTCATGACTTCATGAGGTGGGCACTGTGTTTTCTCGTCTTGTAAACTCTATATATAAAACATGAAACTTCAGTGGTAAAAATACACTGGTGTGATATGCTTGTCTTTGGTGTTTGCCAGATAAAGTCTCATGTGGAGAGTTACCCCGGCACCAGGCAGAACACAAGAGCGCTGCTTAAATGGTGATATCGGTCTACTACTCTTTCAGTTAAACTCCCCAAGTCATCACATTCAATCCACCCTTTAAATATATTTAAATATATATATATATGTGTGTGTGTGTGTGTGTGTGTGTGTAGGATCTACCAAAAAAGGCGAAAATGAAAAAAAATGCCAAATTGTATAGTTCATGTGCATTTATCTCAAGCTACAAATCTTGTTGTTCGCTGTAGAAACTAAACAATGATTAACAGGAATAAACATTTCATGTGACAACTTGCACAATATGAACATCACAATGCATAATGTATTAAAATAATAATAATAATTTATTGTAACATTTTATTGCTTTTGAATGTCCTTCTCCTGACCTTGTACTGCTGACCCAGAAGAACGGAATTGCGTTTATAAAAACTTATATACTCTCACAGAGTGTAGTACTAAGCCAAATGTGTTTCAGAGCGAAGAAAACACATAAATCAAAGTTTTACACCGCGATAAAAAAAAAGTAATTTCTTGTGGTGTTGGATCTCCTCATCGGGTCAGAACAGGCAGGGTTTATAAAGTTTACTTAGAATACTTGACTTATAAACACAGACTATTAAAAAATAGAGGTAACTGTATTCAGAATGGTGCCGAACCTCTTCCTGATCCTCTTGTGTTCACATGAAAAGTCAATGCTGTGTTTCTTTTTTACGCCTTTTGTGCCTGTATTGCAGTGTGGATTATGTGTTTTATTGCATTTCGACCTAATTCATCATGTAGCTTTAAGGGAGAAGCGGCCTCGGAACTAACGTAGCTAGCTGAGGGTAAAATGTTACTTCATGAGTAATTGTAAAAGCAACATCTTAATACAAAAGAATAATAAAAAATGAATAAAAAGAGAAACGCAACAGCTTATTTTTATTTTATTTTTTTGCTTGAGGTTAATTCCAGTACACAGACATTATCCAGTAGGCCTATTTACACTTTTCAGGCCAGAAATGTAACAAGCAACATAGGCCTATGTCATTTCCCTAAATCGTTCGTGTACCTAGGATAAACCACATGACTAGACGTTTACAGGAACCGTTTTTAAAATAAATTACATTTTACATAGTCGGTGCTCAACATTAGTCTGTTCTTTTGTCTCCTTTTAAAACGCCTGTAAATGCCTTTTTATTCTTGTGAACAGAGGTGAACTATTTAGGTAAAATGTGTTCTCAGAAGCAGCTGCCAAGAGCAAGTTGACGAATGCCCAGCTTTCATAGTTATTACCTACATCTTTCAACCCAGTTGCCTATAAAGCACTGAGAGTGAGATGCAGCTGAATATTATTTCCAACACTCACTCCGCGGAGGTCCGCAAACACAACAAGCCCCGCAGCGCGTCCCACCTCCCAGGGCAGTAGTCAGTTTTAAATAAATTTTCATTTTCAGTAAGTTTTAAACCAGCAGCTCCGGACGGCTCATCACCATTTCACCGCCATAAAAATGTAGGAAATTACCTTGCAAAATTTGTTAATGTTGCAGTTGACCGTGTTAATATTCAAATTTTATCCTTATAGGTTTTGAAGCCTAAGTTTTCCAATTGCCAGTACTGAGCAAGTTTAAGTTACAGATACCGTGCTGATTATATAACGGTCATAAACACTATTATACAGTCAGTTATTGTAAGTTTATTTTCTCATGTTATATTTTAAAAGACGCACTACTTAATCTTATCCATGGCGTAGTTTTAAAATATTTTATTTGCCAAAAACACAGAAATCTGAAGGCAACACAAATGCAAGAAACCAAAAAAGAGGAGCATTTTCTGAAAGCTTTGTCACTGATATAATTTATATACTAGTATTAAAATGAGCCGAAAAGCCTGCAAATACAGCTAGCTGCCACGGGGAATTAGCAGTTTCTTTGAGCATCCTAAAATTTTAATTAGCGCATTTTCACGGCACTGAGGTGACTGAGAAGCCAGACCTGAGCATCACGTGACGGCTCATGAATTTAGATTAAGTACATTTCTTATGCTTGTGCAATATGTATGCCGTTTTAAACCCATAAGGTCTTTGTTTAAATGTTTCGTTTGTTCATTTTATAGAATTATTATTAGTACGTGTACAATAGAAATTTTAATCCAATTATGACAGAAATAGCCGAAAGGTTCAGAATATTGAATTAGTAAATACTAAATTAATCTTCTAAGCATCTTTGTTTAGAAGCCAAACCATAATTCTGAAAAAAGAAAGACCAGCAATAGCGAGAAATACGTATAGTACACGATAGGTAGTTATTATGAAAAATGTCTTAAAATAGCGCATCACAAAGCATATACACAACATTTTAAAAAGCGGTAGCAGTAACAATATTAGTCGCAGTACTAGTCCTATAGTAGTAATAATAATAATCATCATCTTCGATTGATTTCTACATTGAAGGATCAAAGCGAACTTAAAATTTAGGGTTTGAGTGGAAAGTGCTCTAAATAAGCTTCTACAAAGCACTAATATTAGGATGACAAATGCAATTGCATCTCACAAAATAAACCTGGACGGGGATAACGAGATTTTTTATTATTTTTTTGCTTCTTTTAAACAACGATTTACTAAATAATACATTACGATCATTTCCGACAAAGTGATGCTTTGCGTCGTCATGGCAACTCGATACAACAGGAGCCGCCCGCGCCCCTCTCTCTTTCCAGCCGGTCCACCCCATCCCCTCAAAACGCCGTATTTTGCGCATGTACCACCAAACGGGAGCATTCATCGACTCCAAGATGGCGAAAGCAGCGCTGGTCTCCTCTATGGTCCTCCTGTGTACACACTGTAAGTCCAGGCACTGCTTCGATTTTTACGCCTTTTCTGCCTTTATTACCTGAAAGAGGTCGACTGTTGTGTTTTATGATTTATTGCATTTCGAGCGGCTTAATCTTGTTGGTTTAGGGGAGCGACGGCGTCTGAACCAACTTAGCTAGCTAACGGTAAAATGTGGGATGCTCAGATAGTAATTGGAAAAGCAATAGAGTCACGCCGAAAATAAGAAATGAACAGATAAAAACAGTGATCGTATTCAGCAATGTTTGTTAGTTTTTTTGCCTGCACTTAATTCCAGCGAACAAACGTTATTTTCAAGTATCTACACTCTGAACGGTTCCAGCCCAGAAAGCCAACAAGCAACGTATCTGCTCTTGCTTAAATCCTTCTTTTGACTATAGGATAAATATCACATTTACTTAAGGTGACGATGTATCTTCACATAGCGGGTGAATATCAGCGATGAGTAGATGTTTTCAGGAACCATAAAAAATTAAATTACATTTTGCACAATCGGTGCTGAAGATGAGTCTGTTCTTTTGTGTTTTTTTAAAACGCGTGTAAAAGTTTTACTTTTGCAAATAATATCGCTTGCTTGACATGAAATCATTGTATTAATTATCCACTGTCATTACGTGTTTTCGGTGTATTACAGAAAGGTCGCGAAAGATTTAAATAACTCTGGAACATGACGAGACAAGCTCTTGATTTTAATGATAGAGATAACGGAATGTTTTTCTAGGGCTAGATTAAACTCAGCGTGAAAGAACCTGCGATGCATCACTATAGTCGTGTATTTAAAGACTTTGACTACTCAGGCAAACTGAGTGCGTTCTTATCCTTTTTTCTGCATATTGTTTTCGTGATTAAGTTATGGTGTCCCCATCTCCGCTAGCTTAACTAACCAGCGTATGCTTATTTATGCACAACCGACGGCATCCTGCTTTTGATCTGTCGGCAAGATCGACAAATACTAACAATGTATCGACTTGGCAAATACTCGCAGTTGTTTTCGTTTATTGATTAGGGTGACTGCATTTTCAGTAAGTCCAAGGAATTAGTAGTAGTCCCAAGCCGTTAAGGAAGTCGCTTCGGAAGGTAAATAAAGTTTGACAAAATAAGTGCATTACGAAGCTGCTCTTTATTATTCGTGATGGCTGCAGTTATCGCTCTGGCGAGCAAAAAGAAGTGGTTGAAAATTTAATAGGTTTAATAACGTATATATTTCGCCTAATTAGAGAGGAGCGGAGTGTTGCGCGTTTGACCTTGAGCCCGAAGCCGCGAAAGGGGACCCGGGGGAACAAAGGGACGCAGAGCGGCAGCGGGCGAGCGGGCGGCCGGGGTGGGCAGCCGGGGTGCGGGCGGCCCCTCTGATCATTCAAGCGCACTGATCCGCCGCCTGAATCCTCTGCTCCCTGAATCTGAATCTTGTTTTTTATTCGCCAAGCACAAAGAAGTACAAGGAATATTTATTGATGCCGGTGGTGTTATGACAAGCAAAACTAAACATGCAACTAAATATCTAAAAGTAAAGATACAAGGACGAATAAGTAGAATAAGACAAAAAATAAAGCTTTCATTGGCGAAGGATGGTTTTCTTCATATTTCATTAGCATCCCCCTCCCTCCCCACTTTTAAGTCAAATGTGATTGGTTTGGTCTAATATAGCTGGCTGTTACGACAGTATGATCACAAATTTGTAAGGGATTTGCCTAATTTTCAGTGCTGTAAATTAGAAAATAGTATTTTACATAAAACGGGAGGGTGAGATCGTTTAGATTTTCAATAATAATTTAAATAATTTTCAATAACAAGTAGTCTATAAGCTACCTGTTATTAGGCCTATATGTGTGTAGTACTGTAACTATAGGCCTAACTTTAATTAAGGGCAATGTTATGTAGATCAAGTTATGATTTAGAATATATTAGCCTACACTCTTTGTTGCCGAGAAGCATTTTTAATTTAAATTTTAGGTTATGGAGGTGATCTTGTGTAATACCCATAGATGTGATAGGTCTGTCTCTGTTTCGCCTGTTATGGGATTGATTTGCCGCGTACGACTTGCCAGCTTTATATAAAACCAGAGAAATCAAGAGAAACGGCGATGTCATCGGTCGGTTTGATCCGCCACATATTTGAATCGGTTTACTGAAAAAGCGGTCTTGTTGCTGTGATATTTTTAGCACAGCTGTTTCCTAGTTACTGTCATGTGAGGAGCAATATCTCTGCTTTTGGTTTTTTTTATGTCCTTTTTTTCAAATAGTGAATGTTTGCTTCGCATATGAAATCTTTATATAGTTAAAATGAGTTGTTTGATTGCAGATATATCACAATCCACCTTTGGTTTTTCTATCTGTTTTCCGTCACGGCTGGACAAAGATGGAAAAATACTCGACAAATGCTGCTGGCTGGCGGCTTTCGAGCGCAGACACAAAATAACCAAGCAGCTGGTTTTTAAAGTACAGTCTTAAATAAACGCATCCAGTAAGAAATGGAGAGTTGTGACCAAGGTGGGCGGAAAATGTACCCCATCCTAGGCCAGAACTAGGGCTACTTGACAGCAAGATAACACACGACACACAGCATGTAGTATCGCTGTTAAAATCCTCTATAGAGAAAAAACTCAGGATGGATGTTTGACAATAAGCAGGGTAGAGACTCCAGTGCTATGAAACCTCATTATCAGCCCATCTTGGCAGCTATTAAAAGCAATCTTACTGATTTTTAAGAAGCAGGAAAAAGACCTGACCCCATAAGGTTTACGACCAAAATAAATGAACTTCAGACCAGGGGTGATCCTGGGCACTGTGTACTGCAGACGCCTTTTCAGTGCAGAGTAAGTCAGCTGAGCGTGGCAGCCTCTGTCTTCGCCTATGCATGGCTTTTATTCGCGGTATTTTGAAGGTATGTAATAGGTTGAGTGTGTCAGGGCAAATGGATGGGTTGGAAAAAATCTTCTTGAGTGTCTCATAACCAAATACTACAGATGGGATGCGGCTCGGTTGGGAATCTGGAAAACAGCTGCTGTAAGTCTTGCAATGTCTGCATTCGCGGCGCAGATAACATAACTGGGAACTTTGGTAAGCGCACTTAATTAATACTGGCATAATCATTACAGTCACACCTCAGCGCTGGTGGGAGGGTTTATTCGTTTGTATTACGAAATTTTGACAACAGGTTTAGTTGTCGTTTTTCCTTTTTTATCACAAAACAATCGATCGGATGTTTTTTAGGAAGTGGATTGCCTATTGTTTATATTTAGTTTTATAGCCTGCATCCGTGAGGGACTTCCTTACGTCTCCCCAGGAGACTCTGGGGAAAGTTTTGATCGCTTCCTGGCCACCTTTCTAACACCACCCCCCCCCCCCCCCCACACACACACACACACAGATTAGGCATCTATATCTTTGTGGGGACCATCCATTCATTTCTATGGGAAAATCTCTAATCCCAACAATGACAACCTTAACCCCTACCCANCTCTAATCCCAACAATGACAACCTTAACCCCTACCCAGCCCTAACCTTAACCATAAGTAGCCAAACAAAAAACATGTTTTTCTTTGGCATTTTAGTTTGATTGCACCTACAGATTTGTATACAATTAAGTTTCCCCTTGTGGGCACCAAAAAAAGTGGTCCTTACGTCACATGAAAATAGCAGGTATTTATCACACTGTGAGGACCAAATGTCCCCACAATGTAGTATATAGATAACACACACACACACACACACACATACCTATACACACAGCTTGTGAATAAATGCCTGGGACCAACATTGAAAGGACTCCAGGACCATCATGGCATCCAAACGGCATTTTAATAAATGCAAAAAAAAGAAAAAAAACCCATAACCCTTACTTTGATGCTGAAAGTCATCTTTGACGCCCAGTTTAATGTGTTTTTTATTTGTCATTCCGAAAGCAAGTGTTAATTGAAAGTGTTTGTGCAGCTGTTCCTTTTAGTGTGGATTTGGTGTAAAAAATGCCACTGGTTTTATGTAACCGGCCAGTCAGGTTTCTAAGCAGGGGGGAGCAGCCATGCTAAGATCTCGCAAATGAAGATGTCGCTGGCCTCTGACCTCTCCGCCAGCGTCCCCTCTTGGTCCCTCTGCCAGCCCTCGTCTGCGACGAAAGTTGCTGACACACCGAGTTCCAGAGCACATGCCTGGTGACTCGCATAGTCCAGAGTCTAGAAACAGCTGAGCTGATTTGGGTGGAAGTCACTGGAACCCCATCCATGTCCAGGAGTGATCAGAATATCCATGGAATGCCTTATAGCTGACCACTAACAAGCCGGCTTCTGACCATCGTTTAACCAGCTGCTGGCTTGAACGCAGGTGTGACATAACTCACTAACTACTAACTCAATAATGAACTCACTAACGTGACTAACTCAATAACTGAAGAATTTGAAGTATAAAAAACTGGCCAACAAAAATGGACCAACAAAAGATTAGGGGTCGTACACTAATCCAGTTTATAATTCCGAGATTTTTCCACGTTTTCCCCAAGATCTCGGAACTTGCTTTTATTATAATTTTTTCCCCCTTGACCAGCCAAGTGGGAGATGATTTGAGGGGCAAAGGCAGAGGCAGCCGTGTCAGGAATGGCAAACATGCACATTCTCGGAATGTCAATAACATGGCCATGTGTAAGATGGGCCGTGATCAAAATAGTGTCTGACCACCACGCTTAAAATACTGCTAGAAAATGCAGCTGTGCCTTTATCAAAGGGGTAAACATTTTTCTGGATTATAATCGTTTTTGTGCAGTGTAGTCTGGTGATATTTTAGAATCTTTTTCCCTGTTTGAGATTAAAATTAAATATCTCAGTGACAAAAGTCAGCATTGTTTTGTCTCTAAGTAAAAAATATAAAACAATCATTTTCTAGGTTGCAAGTGATCTCTTGCAAGTGATTTTGGATATTTTCTCACAAAATGCTGTGCTCTTTACTCGCCATGTGGATTATAATCTTTGGAAATGGTTCTGCCTAATCAGTTTTGCGT